TTTTATGGGTAAATATATTACGTATAACATATATATCAAAATTTAAATTAATTAAATATATTTAATTATTTTTGAATAACATATGATTCAAAACCCTTAAACAAATAATATATAATAGTAGGAAAAATGTTAATAAGTTGGATAAGGAAAAAATAATGAAAAATTTATTTCAAAACTTTTTTTGTTTTAAAAAAACTTTAATTAAAATAAATAGACTAAATTAGCATATTTTTTGGGTAAAAATGAAGAATATATTAGTATTTTTTTTATAACACCTTCTTAGAATATCATGATTTTGAAGTATTTTTCACCTTATTTTTTTGCAAGTCTAGTAAATACATAATAATCTCATATAGAATATAAACTTTCAATTAGAATATCAAATCTCATTATTGAATTGATAAAATATAAATTATATAAAAAATTACAATTAATGTAAATTTTTTTTCATACCCAAATAAAATTATTTGTTTTAAAAATTGATTATAAAGAAAGAAATGGTCTTTTTATGTAACTCTTAGATATTTTCTTTAAATTTAACAAGGTCCTTATAATTCAAACATCAAAAACAATTTTGTACTAATTAAAAATTAATGTAGTAGATTAAACATTTTTCAAAAGCTTAGGGGGGGCGGCTGCCCCCCCTTGTCCTATGGTAGCTCCGTCCCGGCCTTCGCTGCTAGATCCGGAGGGATACGGGCCGTATCCGCTGGTCGGGTTGCTGAGCTCACTGCTAGCACCGTATTCTGTGCTGCCTAATGCCGTTTTCCTGAACCTTTTCATCTCTTCGTTGTACTGGATGGCGTCATAATCTGAACTACCGTAGCCGTAGATGCTGCTGTACCCGGGTTTGATTCCTTCATTGAGGTCAGACAGAGATGCATCTCCTTCTAGAGCACGGACTATCTGTTTAGTTACAAAATTTTAGTTAGATGGGCTAGAAAAAGGACAATCTCCAGTCAGTTAATATTTTAATAATTACCTGGCTCATTCGTGGCCGAATTCTTGCTGAATGTCGCACGCAAGCAGCAGCACAGGCAACCATGCGTGCCATCTCATTGTGGTTATATTCGTTTTGAAGTCTTGGATCAGCCAGACTGTCAAAGTTTTTGTCATCCAAGGCTCGTGTAAGCCGTGCCCTCGCCTATAATGCCAGGGCGAATTGGTTTAGAAAACATTCAGAAGTTCAAACTCCAAAAACTGCACCTTGAATACATCCA